ACACACTCTAACCCTAAAAGCTCAGAAAATTCGCGAAAATGATGCTCACCTGCGCAGATTCTGTGAAGCAGTCCCAAAATAGTTTCCAGAGCAAGGAACAGCACAAACATCACATTCTGTTCCAACGTATGTCACCGTCCTTTTACACAAATATTCTGTTCCAACTTCCAAACAAAAGACTTCAGATGACCATCACATTGGACAACCGACATCAGGTGTCAAAAACTTCTTACAAAATTTCATGTTATTGCAGCCAAGAACCGTTTATGACCCAGATGATCCACAAGGGATCACTTCTAATTCAGTGGCCCTTGAAAAAAGTCCTACCCCAACGTATCAATTTCCTTCCCAGAATCATCCTCATTAATGTTTCTCCTCAACCTTCTTAGCCATATATCATAGTCCATGGGATATGGTGTCCCACATAGACTATCAACATAATCGGCAAATGCTTTCAACACAGTTGAGGCCTCACCTAACTTCTGTTGAATTAATCTTCTGGACCAAGAAGTCTCTCTCCACTGCAGTGCCCCCTCAACGGAATCCAGATCAGGTAGAACCCCACCACACGAAATATAAAGCATGTAAACAAGGCTCTCTGCATCTGAAGCTGAGCAGAGCTTTCCCTCCTGGAGAGCATAAGTAGAAGAGAAATGAAGGTTCATTGCAGGGCGGTCCCTATCTTCAAGAATAGCACGTCCCCAACCAATAAGAACAAAATAAGGTTGCTTCTCGGCAGACCTGACACAAATCACATTCTCAGGCCTGATGTCTCCGTGGCGAATTCCTGCAGAAGCAGCAGTTGAAAGTGCAGATAAGCAATCATGGCAACATCTGATCGCGTCCTCCATACCAAATCTGGCTTCACTTGTCATATGAGCCACTGTTTCACCAACTGGGCTGGTCACAAGAATCGGGGTGCCACACCAGGGGTGATCACAGTTTCCACCCGAGCTGGGTTTCTGACAATGACCAGGGTGAATAATCCTGCCAGAAGCACTTAACTGAGGTAGATACTTGCTAGATAGACCTCTCTGTTTCATAGTAGTCAATATTTTCGTCTGCCTCTGAACTTGATACCACAGATTCATATCCTCCCACGCGGGCTCCAGCTGGGAAGGATGAGAACCAACATATAGAAACAAACTTTTCTGAGGTTCTTCAACCGGAGAAGCAATGTAATATGGATGTTCACTGTTATTCAAGACTTGATTGATCTGGTAACCTTTTTGCCAGTTAGAATCCTCCAACCATAATACAGATCCTGCTTCTAGCTTCATTAACTGTTCGGTCTCAATTTTAGCAGAATCATCCTCAACTTCAACGATTTCTGGGGATACATTGCGCTGCTGGAACCGACACAGACCATTTCCATTCGCCCGGGAATTCCCCAACTGCCTCTCAGTCCTTCTTGCTTGGAGGCGAGGACCATGGTCAGCAGCTAAATCCTCTATTGAGTGCTTGGGAAATCCAGCAAATTGCACAATACAATGGAAGGTAGCAAAGAGTAACTGTAAAGCACCAATGTCTCCCCAGTTGGCATTTCCAAGTTTGTTCCAGATCCTATCAATGGACGAGACTGCAATCCTAGAATGGTTTGTAATCCATTCAGCTGCACATTCGTAAACATTATTGACATCAAACACCATCTTATTTACATCTCCTTCAACCTTTACTACCCCACCATACTGAGAATCAACAAGAAGAATAAACACAGAGTTTGAACTCTGAGAGTAGTTCATTCTGCTCAAGCTTCTTGATAATAGTACACGAAGAGCATAGAAAAGGGCCTCGCCTAAAACAGATAGAGAAAGCTGCCTGTCACTATCCATGGAAAAGTTTCTGATATCAGGCCTTAAAAGAGACAGTTCAAGAATATGATCCCACTTCCCACGGGGATGTCTAGGGTTTGTAAGCAATAAACCGGTAGCACAAAGACCTCCAAGCTTACCATCCCCAATTGCCTTCTCAGCCTGGTAGAATTTCAAGTTTTCATTGTATAGACAAGCAACAGAGAAAGGCATAGGCTCATCTTGATTCCAGAATGCTTCCCACAATCCCTTCGCACCGGCATGTAAAAAATCTTCAATGGCAAGATAAGCAGTTGCTTCAACAGCATCCGATGTTGAAGCATAAACGGAATTGGGCATCCTAATCACCTGCTGAAATGAAATCCCTTCCAATGCATAGTCAAACTTTTGAAGTTCTATCAACTCAAAAGGCACATCAAAGGCCGGTTTCATTGGTTCTGATTTGTTGGATATAGATTCAAACCAGTCTTCTAATTGTGTAGTAAGCATGCCACTGTCTACAAATCTATGAAGAAACTCCTTGCAGTTACGAGACCTACTGCCAGATGATGCACTAGACCTCCTTGTCCCAGACCCAACTGATTCCTGGTCTGGCGACACAGCTGCCAAAGAAAGTATAATAATGTAGATCAGCAAAATGGGGTCCGAAACAAGAATATGCACATGAATCTACGTGTGTGTTTGTGTACTATTTCTTAACAAGTGCATCCACACAGTTGATATATACCAAACAGTTGATATATACCAATGACAGAAACAATTGTTACTGATTGACTTTAAAAATTATAGAAAAGCTGTGCAGTTACCAAAATTTGACCATCAGTCCATTTGTACCTTTTTCTATTCACTTTTTATAAGAACCACAAGTTTTATTATGAAGAACGGAGAACAATAGAAATAAAATTGATCATAAATCCAAAAAATCAAAGACTCATAAGACTTTTCGTACCCTACTAAAATCCGCGTTAGCACTTAATATTTGTTTCTTTTTTTCGCTCTTGGTCATCCTTATATGACATACGTAATGCATTCTCTCATGGTTGTGATTCCTTGGGCCCTACTCCTACTCTCACACCACTCTCCTAATTTTTATCCTTGCTGACTTTCTCGAGTATGCTGTATTTCAATTTCCAACTAGTTTTACATTTCATCTTCATCCACTATTCTATCCCCAAGTTCTACCAAAAGAAATACCCTTCCTCACTTAGCCATGTCCTCCTTCTCCTCCTCCAACAACAGACTTACATGGTTCCAAATCTCCCCAATAAATAATTGTCTCTCTATTATACATCTTAGCTATTGTCTCTTCTGCAACAAATTGCAGTGACAACAAGGTGCCATGTACATTCCATCCACATATTCATTTCGATCATTTTTTTTATCATAACAAATTAGGTATAATATAAACCAAATGCTTATACAAGAGGATCATAAACATGACCACCACTAATTCGGATTAGAATACACCAATCAAATGATCGAACGTGCGAATTCATTAATCTTAACATTTCAGATAAAATATTCTCATCACCCATTGTGCCCCTTCACCGATCCAATATACTCCACAAACACATTAGAGATATGGAAAATTTAAAATTAAAAAAAAAAAAAAAAAAAAAAAAAAACATTCTTGAAGTGGAAACCCATCTTAAGTCCTTACGGCGACAGGGCCGGCTTAGTTCCACCAACTTCTCGAGCAGTTGCAACAATGACATTGTGAACCCATCACCCATTGCCTTTGGACATTCAATTCATCTCATAAATTTTACAGTCACACAATTGGGGTCATTGTGCAATGAAACCCATAATTCATCCACCAAACACTCAGCTGGCCACATTAATGTTACTTCCTTTTGAGGAAGAAGCTCTTGAATTCACTTTAAAAATACAAAATCGAGCTCTTGAATTTACTCAAAATTCAAAATTGAGCACAAAAAAACACTGAAAAAATAAGAAATTGCCTAACACAGAAACCCTAGAGATGACCAAGACTAAAGGAAACAGCCAAATTTTCCGAGTAGACAGAGAGAGAGAGAGAAAGGAAGAGATGAAAGGCTGACCTTCCATTGCGGTTAGGGCTAACAGTCCAATCCAACGTAATCCAGTCCAACGCAGTCCAGTCCAACGCAGCAGCTCATTGACCGACCATGTCTGCGCCTCCTCCTCCTGCGCCGATCAAACGATCGCTGCTGGTAATTTTCTCTTTTTCTTTTCTTTATTTTTTGGTTTTGTTTTTTTAAATCGGGTATCCGAATATCAAGGCTTTTTTTTTTTTTTGGGATCGTTTTTTTTTTTTTTTGGAAAATGTCTTCATTTGCCGGCCGACCCTTGGATTATTCGACTGCCCCCGCCCGCACCATGTACACGTATTTTTATTTTATCTTTTGTTTTTACTGCCAATTTTTTCACATTTGCTTTTTATTGGGTTGCACATTTTTACATTTTTTTTATTTATTTGTCAATCTTTTTTCTTCAAATAAAACTAAAATAATAAGTACGAATACGGTCGGCTAGGGCCTCGAATTTAAAACTCTTAAGTGATGGCGAAGAAATATCTCATACGAAAAGTACGTGCTTATAAGTATTTGAATTATTTTATTTATTGTGAATGGTGGAATCTCAAACTTTTTCAACGGTCATACATATTTCACGTTACTTAGTTTGTTCGAGGTGTTCTAACATATAAAGTTTATTAAATTTTTCATATGCTTATAAGAAGTTATTGAAAACTCTTAACTATCTTCGTCATAAAATGAACTAATTTTGAAACTCTAGAATTGACTCGGCTTACCCAATTGCCTATGCTAGTGGGGATGCAAAAGCACTCCCACAACCACTTATAAAAAGGTTTTTCTTGCCAATTCTTCAATATATTTTTTCGACACATCTATAGAGAATCTAACTTCATAACTTATGCGTCATTTCCATTCAAAAACCTAGAACCTAGGCCCATCATCTGCTTGTGCCACGCCCATACTGCTTTGCAATGGCTACATTCTTCTCTTCAAGTTGCCTTTCGTTGTAATTTCTCAATTTATTTCTTTTGAAATTTAAAAAGATATATATCCCTACGTATCGGAGTTGTTAATATAAATTGGCGATTTTGTACGACATACATTGATGAATTAGAAATAACTTGAACAAACTTAACGACGAGAGATTCCGTCCGTCGAAGCGAAAGCGTAGAAGTTAGAACTATCCAACTGGATTTATTGCAACAAGAGTAACAGCTAGACAAACACACAGAACGAAGCAAAAGACAACATGTTCAGTTCAAGTGCTGCAAACAAAAAGCAGATGTTAAAACATGAAAGCCGAGTCTCTCAACGCTCGTACTGCTTTCGGAGCCTACGAAGAACATTCGAGTAGAATTTCCAATAAGGATGAGTAGATGAAACAGCAGGCTGTCCAAAAGGGTTTTCCTTCACATAAATTTGCACATCTTTTGCATCTGCAAGGCCATCCAAATACTTCCCAAGTTCTCGCTTTGGATCTATTTCCAACAGTCCAAGAAAAAAGAGAAATCAGCTTTTAGGTTAAGCAAGTGGTAGAATTTCAAATGTTAATTCTCAAGGGAGATGATATCCGAATATGCCAGTTCACTGTGTGCTAAAAATATATAATGCAGGAGGAGAAAATGAGCATGCGAAAATCACTTCCAAAATAATAAACGTATCAAATTCTCGTCATTACCTAATTCTTTGTCGTTGTCATTCTCAGCATCATATGACTCCAAGAAGATACCTGTGTTAGGCTGTGACATGAAACAAAGAAAACAACTTTAGAATGATTAAGGATAGACATTGTCGCACTTTCATTTTCCCCTTCTGCACTCCTTCCGTTTCTGTCATTTGTTTCCCCTTAAAAATTCAATCCAAAACCTAGGAAAAAATGAAGTGCAGAGGGAGAAAACGGGAGTCCGAAAAAAAAGGAGGAAATCAGAATTGTGATAACCATACAGGATTCAATAGACCCTTGTAAGGTTGATCATCAATGAAAAGTGTATCAGATTCTGAGTATTTCCCGCTAAAATAGCTCCACACTTTGTCCAGTTCTTTGAAAAATAGAGGCTTGCGATTATCCTCTAGCGACTTGAACCCAGAGTCGGTACATTCATGTTGATCCTATTGAAGAAATACATATCAGTAAATCTTGTCACCAAACATTTACCTATATATATATATATATAGATCTCAAAAATACATGTATATGTGTGTATAGCTTTCATATCTTAACAGTTCTTACCCAAACAAATGACAGTCGCCTTCTCAGCTTTCCCATCACACAATCCAAAACACCATCCACATTTTTTCTGTTAATCAGTCATTCATAGCACAATAAACAGACTGGATAGGAAGTAAATAACAAATGAAAATCATGAAGAAACAGAAGTATAACTCGACATGATAAAAGGTAGACAATAACATTAATAGCATGTTTACTTACCAAAAACAAGAACAAGACTAAATGATATCGTTCTAATTCCCAACATCTTCATGTTTGCAGTCAAAAACGAAAAAGAAATAAAAATAATAATATGTAGGTTTCAGCTTAAAATCAAGAATTAGATACTCTCGAAACCAAAAATTAGATCAACTAGACAAAAGTTGATTCAATTCGACAGTCCGAGTTACCCTGTTATAAGTTCCCAAATTCATAATTGATAGTAAACATGCCATAAAAAGTTAAAGAACATAAAACATTGTGTGTGCACTTACACTTGGGCAGAACTCAATATTCCAACTTCGAATCTTTCAAAACAAAATTGCATGAATTCCTCACAAAATGGTCTCCTAAAAACTGCAACGTCAAAGAAGAGGGTTGTCAAACCTAAAACGAATGTACATTGTAAATTGCGAATGTAACATGTAGTAATTGCGAATGTAACATGTAGTATTCTAAGTATTTTTTTTATCTACTATTTTTTAATACAAGCAATATTACTATTATAATTCACACTAAGGGAAGGACAATTTGAACTCGGTAGACATCATGCTACAAGCTCTAGTAGACAAGAGAAACTCATCATTATTCATGAGTCGTTGATAAACTTTTTTGGAAATGTAATGTTAGGTAGACAAACTTTTTAAACTTCATTTGCAAAAAATATGTTATATCAAAGAAAGAAAAAAATATGCATGTTAGTAGATCTTCAAATTTTCCCTACAAAAAATTCCACTCTCCTTTGTACTCTCACAACAATTAAGTAATAATCCAACTGTCATCAACCACGTTAGGTTTACAAAATATAATTTAAATTTCCTTTAAATGCTATGAACAACACTCTAATTCAAAGATTAGTGTACGTACCTAGATAGCTTCCATATGTGCCATCAGGAGTACGATTGCTCGGAATTTTTGCCCTGTTGTAGCGGATAACTCTGTGGACTAGCAAGCCATTGAGGCTAAAGATTACAAGCTTCTTCCTTGATCCTATGTATAGCTTCTCCAGAAAAAGGCCGCAATCGCTTCCGGTGTCTTCGTTGCAATCATCGTCGCCGTCATCATCGTCGACCTCATCGCTGTCATATTGAAGCTTGTTGTTACAAATCTTTTCATCAGCCATTGTTCAAAGCAATGATGTAACAAGTAGCAATTTTGCCGAGTAACATATGGTGTCGTCGGTTTATAAGAGGCTGCTGGCTTTTCATCTTCTGTAAATGTTTGTCGGTCAATTAATAGAGAAAGATGAGACTGTTGGCTTTTCATCTTCTGTATATGTTTATCGAGTAAATGGTGGCTTTTCATCTTCTGTAAATGTTTGCCGGTCAATTTATAGAGGAAGAAGAGACTGTTGGCTTTTCATCTTCTGTATATGTTTATCGAGTAAATGGTGGCAAAAACCAAAGAGTAAAGAGAAAAATGGTCTTGCAAATCTTTGGGTACCCTAGTCGAGTAAAAAGACGAGAATGACTTGAAAAATGCCACTCATTTTTTGTGACGTGACATATTTGACTAAAAAGTTAATTATGATTCAATGATATTACTATTCATTTATAAAGATGCGCTTTCAAGTCTTTCTCATTTAGACGACGAGTTTAATACCTAATTGTAGTGACTGATCATTTCAGTACAAATCTTCCAGCTTTTAAAGTAGAACATTATTCCCATAACTAGTTAAAGTCCTCCAACATTCAACAATATGAACTAGTTGTCCTTGCGTTACTACTCACACCATCGTCATATGGAATCGTATGTTTTTTTCTTTCTCGTCATGTGACATGTATTGAAGCAATGTCAACCAACAACTACAATAGGATATCCACATCTTTTAACCGACTCAAGATTAATGAGGCCCAAATTGCAATTTTCTTTCTAGCCCATTATAACAACAAAGATTTCTAACAATTGGGCTTGTAATAGCATTCCCAGTGAGGGGCTTTATATGAAGCTGAAAAAGTGGTGAATATAGCCCATTTTTAGAGCTTCGAGGAATTTTTGGGACTTTATAAAATAATCTCTTCCAATGAGAGGCTATATCTTTCGGGCTCTATATGGGGCTATATATATTTATTTATGTTGTAATTTGATTAAGCAATGATTTTTTTTTTGTGTTAGCTTTTCTTAAGTTGATTTTTGGAAATGCTATCTTAAATTTTTTTTGTGAACCCTTCAAGCTAAAAAGTTCAAATTGTGACAAAGTTAGATTTCAACACTTATGAATAGTTCGTTGGATTAGATTCCCTTATCTCAATCTCATCCGTTGAAAGAAGCAAACCCCATATTCGCCCTTTTAAATAATTAAATTTTCATGTATAACACAACAATTTACCTAGCACCAATTGGTAAATTAATATCATACAATTTTGAAAAAAAAATTATTTGAAAATTTCACCCATCAATGCCCATGAACGTTAAATCAATTTGAAATTTTAATTCTTAAGGAATTAAAACAATCATTAATTAGCCAAATTGCAACAAAAATAAGTAAGAAAAAAAAATTAAAATAATAAAAGGAGAGTATAAGTGTATTCGCAAGTGGAAGGATAGTGATAGAATTTTGCTCACATGAGTTGCTACTTTTTTTGTGGGACTTACTGTTTTTTGGGGCTAGATGTAGCCCAATTTTATACTACCCAATTATGGATTTAGCCCTATTTTTTGGCTCATTGAAAATGAAATTTATCGCTAAAGCTAGAAATGTGATAGTCTCATGAATGATAGACAGAATTCATGCACCATGTCTCCAAAATTCTTCTTCAAATTTTGTGCAGAAGCTTCTCAAAGTTACCACAAAAAGGATAATAATTCCTACAACAAAGCGTGGGAGTCTCCCATACCTCCACAGGGCAGAAGGTTGTAGTAACACCCCACTTTTCCAGCACCTTCCAGTACTCTCTCTCTCTCTCTCTCTCTCTCTCTCTTATACACACCCAAGACTGAAGACAGAGACCTGGGTTTTTGTTCACTGAGGCATAACATCAAAACTTGGAGTGCATAACAAAATGAAGCCAATCGACGACAAGAAATACAAGGTGACGATCCGGACGGTGACCCACGACGAGGAGGGCCGTAAGAGGGTGGAGAAGATGGAGCTCCCCACCCACAACATCGACAGCATCGTACGTCGAGAAGAAGCTCATAGACAAAGGCGTGCAGCGACTCGAACGCCACCCGTGAGACGGGACTGGGATCGGGAGGCCGCCGCCTAAGTCGGGCCACGGTGGCTAGTACACGTATTTTTATTTTATCTTTTGTTTTTACTGCCAATTTTTTCACATTTGCTTTCTATTGGGTTGGAGATTTTGTTTTTAATATTTATCAATCTTTTTATTCTTCAAATAAAACTAAAATAATAAGTACGAAAACTAGGGCCTAGAATTTAAAAATCTAAGTGACGGTGAATAAATATCTCAAAAAGTACGTGCTTATATAAAGATTTAAATTATTTTATTTATTATGAATGATATTATAATAGAATCTAACTCTTTCAACGGTCACACATATTTTATGTTATTTAGTTTGTGAGAGATGTTTTAACATAAAGTTTGCTAAAATTTTATATGCTTATAAGAAGTTGAAACCTTTTATACTATTTACTTTAATGTATAGTAAAATCTTAACTATCTTTGTCATAAAATGACCTAAATATGAAATTCTAGACTCGGCTTAGCAATTCCACAACTACAAAAAAAGGTATTTCTTGTTAATTCTTCAATATACTCTTTCGACACATGTTTAGAAAAGCTAACTTTGTAACTAATGCGTCGTTTCCATTAAAAAACCTAGAACTAGGTCCATCATCTTCTTGTGCCACGCCCATACTGCTTGGCAATGGCTACATTCTTCTCTTCAAGTTGCCTCTCGTTGTAATTTCTCAATATTTTTATTCTGAAATTTAAAAAGAGATATATCCCTTCGCTTGGAGTTGTTAATATAAATTGGCGATTTTGTACGAAATACATTGATGAATTAGAAATAACTTGAACAAAATTATCGAAGAAAGATTCCGTCACGATCCAACAGAATGTATTGCAACAAGAGTAACAACTAGACAAACACACAGAAAGAAGCAGAAGACAACATGTTCAGTTCAGGTGCTGCAAACAAAAAGCATATATTGAAATTTAAAGTTGATAACAGTTCATGTTAAAACATGATAGCGGAGTCTCTCAACGCTTGTACCGCTTTCCAAGTCTACGAAGAACATTCGAGTAGAATTTCCAATCCGGATTAGTAGGTGAAATTGCAGGCATTCCAAAAGGGTTTCCCTTCACATAAATTTGCACATCTTTTGCATCTGCAAGGCCATCCAAATACTTCCCAAGTTCTCCCTTTGGATCTATTTCCAACAGTCCAAAAAAAAAAAAAAAAAAAACTATGTTAAGCAGGTGTAGATTTTCAAATGTTAATTATCAAGGGAGATGATATCCGAATACGCCAATTCATGTGCTAAAATATACAGTGCAAGAGGAGAAAATGAGCATGCGAAAATCATTTCCAAAATAATAAATGTATCAAAATTCTCGTCATACTCAGCATTATATGACCCCAAGAAGATCCCTGTGTTAGGCTGTGACATGAAACAAAGAAAGCAACTTTAGAATAATTAAGGATAGCCATTGTCACACTCTCGTTTTCCCCTTCTGCATTCCTTCCATTTCTGTCAATTGATTCTACTTCAAAATTCAATCCAAAAGAAAAAAAGGACTGCAAAAGGAGAAAACAGGAGTACCAAAAAAGGAAGGCAGAGTTGTGATGACCATACAGGATTCAATAGAGCCTTATAAGGTTGATCATCAATGAAAAGTGTATCAGATTCTGAATATTTCCCACTAAAATAGCTCCACAGTTTGTCCAGTTCTTCGAAAAACAGGGGCTTGTTTTTATTCTCTAGTAAATCTTGTCACCAGACATTTACCAATATATATATATATATATATAGATCTCAATAGTATACGTATGTGTGTAAAGCTTTATATATCTTACAGTTCTTACCCAAACAAATGCCAGTCGTTTTCTCAGCTTTCCCATTATACAATCCAACACACCATCCACATTTTTTCTCTTAATCAGTCATTCACAACACAATAAACAAAGTGAATAGGAAGTATATAACAAATGAATCAAGAAGAAACAGAAGTATAACTAGACATGATAACCGGTAGACAAGAACATTAATAGCATGTTTACTTGTCAAAAACGAGAACAAGAATGATATCGTTCTAATTCCTAACTTCTTCATGTTTAGAGTCAAAAACAAAAAGAAAAATAAAATATAACATTTCGTCAGTTCGCCGATCTGAGTTACCCTGCTATAAGTTCCGAAATTCATAAGTGATAGTAAACATGCCATAAAAGTTCATTAGAATATAAAACATTATGTGTGCACTTACTCTTGGGCAGAACTCCATATTCCAACTTCAAATCTTTCAAAACAAAATTGCATGAATTCCTCACAAAATGGTCTCTTAAAAACTGCATCGTCAAAGAAGAAGGTGGTCAAACCTAAAGCGAATGTACATTGTAAATTTCAAATGTAACATGTAGTATTCTAAGTATTGTTTTTATCTGATGTTTTTTAATACAAGTGATATTATTATTATAATTCACACTAAGAGAATGACAATTTGAACTCGGTAAACATCATGCTACAAGATCTAGTAGACAAGAGAAACTTATCGTTATCTATGAGTCATTGATAAACTTTTTTGAAAGTGTAATATTAGGTAGACAAATTTTTTAAACTACATTTACAAATCATGTGATGTATCAGCAATAAAAAATATGCCTGTTAGTAGATCTTCAGACGTCCTCCTACATGAAATTCCACTCTCCCCTATCTCATAACACTTAAATAATAATTCAACCGTCATCAACCACCTTAGGTTTACAAAATATAATTTAAATTACCTTTAAATGCTATATGAACAACACTCTAATTCAAAGATTGTGGTACGTACCTAGATAGCTTCCATATGTGCCATCAGGAGTACGATTGCGCGGAATTTTTGTCTTGTTGTGGATGGAAACCCTGTGGACTATAAACCCATTGAGACTAAAGATTACAAGCTTCTTCCTTGATCCTATGTTTAGCTTCTCCAGAGAAAGGCCGCAATCGCTTCCGGTGACTTCGTTGCCATCGTCACCGTCATCGCTGTCATATTGTTGCTTGTTTTTACAGATCTTTTCATCAGCCATTGTTCAAAGCAATGACGTAACAAGTAGCAAATTTTGCCAAGTAACATACGGTGTCGTCGGTTTATATAGGAAGAAGAGACTGCTGGCTTTTCAACTTCTGTAAATGTTTGTCGGTCAATTTGTAGAGGAAGAAGAGACTGTTGGCTTTTCATCTTCTGTATATGTTTATCAAGTAAATGGTGGCAAAAACCAAAGCAAAATGTTTGTCAGTCAATTTATAGAGGAAGAAGAGACTGATGGCTTTTCAGCTTCTGCATATGTTTATCGAGTAAATGGTGGCAAAAACCAAAGAGTCGAGAAAAATGGTCTTTCAAATGGCTTTGGATACCTTAGTCGAGTAAAAAGACGAGAATGACTTGAAAAATGCCACTCATTTTTTGTGACGTGACATATTTGACTAAAAAATTAATCGTGATCCAATTTTATTACTATTCATTTATAAAGATAGACTCTCAAGTCTTACTCATTTAGACGACGAGTTTAATACCTAATTATAGTGACTGATCATCTCAATCCAAATCCTCCAGCTTTTAAAGTAGAACATTATTCCCATAACTAGTTAAAATCCTCCAACATTCAATAGTCTGGACCAGTTGTCCTTGCGTAACTACTCACACAATCGTCATATGGAGTCACATGTTTTTTTCTTTCTCATGTGACATGTATTGAAGCAATGTCAATCAACAACTATAATAGGATATTACGCTTCTTTTAACCGACCAAAGATTAATGAGGCCCAAATTGCAGTTTTCTTTCAACAACAAAAGATTTCTAACAATTGGGCTTGTAAAGACAGAATTCATGCACCATGGTCCAAAATTCTTTTCTTTTCTTTCTTGATTTATTTTGTCGCTTTTCATTTCGTTTTTGTTGTTTTTCTTTATTATCTTTTAATTATTGTTAGGTTTCGTTTTAATATTTAATTTTCTTTTTAAGGTTGTTTCTTTGATTTCATTTATTTTCCACGCCTTAAGGATAATCTGTGATCCAAGTTTTGGGTGGGAAATAAGAATTTTCAAGTTTTTTATTTTTGATTCAATATAAAAAAAATTCATTCTTTTGAAATTAATATCTATAGATTATTTTAAACATTAGAACAAATGGACTTCAAAGTCTTTTCTATTTATCGTTGCTTAGACACTAATTCATGAGTTATACTTAAAATTTTGCACATTCACATCAACATGATTTATGAGGAATGAGATTGAAACACTTACTTTTAGTCTAAAGTATTTTTTAATTATTTTTTTTCTTAGTCTAGTGAAGTTCGTTATTATTATCAATAAAGTAATAATTATTTCACACAAAGTTTTGCTTAGTAACCAGGCCAGTCCTGCCTAATCAGTATTGATTCTTGCATTAAATGATAGAGTTTTGGCATGGGGCAGGGTGGTTAGTTGATTTCGTAGCCTTTTCAGCTCGAGTTAGTAAGTCCTTAGTGTCCTAAAACCCTTGTGGTTTGGGAGTCATTGACCTAAAACTTGTTACATGAGTTGGATCGAAAGCTTAAGTGCACTGACATTACACGACCACTACTATTATTAAAAAAAATCGAAAAAAATAATTATATAAAGAAAGAAAAGAAAAAAAATAATAATAGATCTTTTTGAGGTTAGTATGTGTGAAGTAGTGAATAAAAAGGACGAGAGGTAAGAGTTTTAGTCGAGTCTCTTTAACTATGTTGGTTCACTCTACACCAAGGGAAGCTCATGAATTATAATTGAATATAAATGGCTTAGACTTTGTAGTGGGATTGGTTGGAACTTTTGGAAAAATGTTCTAATTTTTAACGTTTTTTATGGATTAAAATTTGAAGGTGAAATTTTTTTGTGTGTCTTAGTTAATTTTGTTTAAGTTTTTTAGTTTTTCTTTTATTTGCTAGTTTTGTTTTGCTTGAGGGCAAGCAAAAAGCTGAGTTTGCGGGTATTTTGATGAGTTAATATTATATTATATATTTTACCCTATTCTTAGTAATTTGGTAATTATTTTTGTAGAATTTTGATACTATGCTTTATATTTTCAACATTGGACATTTGACTTCATCCGGAGTGAAACGTAATCAAACGGATGAATTTTGGAGTGATTCAAATTGGAGGACGTTCGTGTGTTCCTTAGCTTGTTTGTATCAAAATTTTAACAATTTATACCGAGTGGTTATTTTCTGGCGATTAAATAAAGAAGCAGTACAAGTTCCTGGAAATTGATGTTTTTTGGCTTAAATGCAATTTTTGGAGCTTAAGATGACCTCAAATGGGTTCGTGGCCTTCTGGAGAAGTGTTCATAATAGTCCAAGTTTTAAATCCAGCCATTTTGGGCCAATTTTGAAGCTGATATAGGTCCACAATGTGGTTGTGCAGAATTTTGGACGAATTTACCAAGTCAATTTAGGACTATGTTTCTTAATTTATTTAAATTTATTTGGTTTCCTAGTCTTATTCTAAGACATATTACTAGGAGGATTTAATTAGCATATCAATAAGCCTTTTTGGCTGGCCCTAGGGTTTTTCTCATGCAATTTTTTGGAGAAGATTTTGGGCAAAGCTTAAAGATTTCAAGACTTATATTTTCAAAGTGTTTTCATTCTTTTCCTATATCAATAAAGACTTTGTGATTTTTAATTATAAATATGTGTAACTAATTCTCTTTGCTAGGGTGAGACCATGATCCTTAGCAAGAATATGCAATATTTTTTTAATTTGCTTATGAATTTATGCATGCAAGTTTTGGATTGTTAATTACTGGTTTAAACTATCTATTTGTCTGAGTGATTCACGACCATTAGGATATTTCGAAAAGTAATTTGATGCAATTTTGGCGGAGGGTTGTCCCTAAAATTGACTATGGCTTATTGTGGTTAATATGTGTAACTTCTTAGGATGGACAACCCATCTTAAGGGTTACATAGTTTTTCAAAAGCTTTTCACAAAACTTAATAAGTCTTACATGTTCACGACGCCACGGACGGATTGCATGTTAGATATACGTTCTATGTTGGAGGTTCCAAGTAGGATATATTTTACGAAAACCTAACCTTCAAAATATGCATGTGTAATTCATAAGAAATTAGAAGAACTACACAAGATTATTAGGATGACGGCGGAACCCTAGTACTTTCTCACTTTGAATTCTAAAAATTGTTTCCTTTTTCCTTCTTTAAATTTGCAGATTCCAGTTAACTTTTTTTAATTAATTTCGTTTTTCTTAATTTAGGTCATAAAATAACCCTTTTTTAAACTTTGTTTTCAAATAATTAACTAAGATTTGATTTTAAAATAAATTATTCATTCAATCCCTGTAAAAAACGACATTACTTGAGCTGCTATACTTTTGCCACGCCCATACTGCTTGGCAGTGGGCTACATTTTCTCTTCAAGTTACCTTTCGTTGTAATTTCCCAATTTATTTCTTCTAAAATTTAAAAAGAGGTATACCCCTTCGTATCGGAGTTGCTAATAAACACTGGCGATTTTGTACATACATTGATGAATCAGAAATAACTTGGAACAAAATTATCAAAGAAAGATTCCGTGGACGCGAAAGCGTCGAACGATCCAACAGAAAGTATTGCAACAAGAGTAACAGCTAGACAAACACAGAAGGAAGCAGAAGATAACATGTTCAGTTCAGGTGCTGCAACCAAAAAGCATATATTGAAATTTAAAGTTGATAACAGTTCATGTTAAAACATGATAGCGGAGTCCCTCAACGCTTGTACCGCTTTCCGAGTCTACGAAGAACATTCGAGTAGAATTTCCAATCCGGATGAGTAGGTGAAATTGCAGGCATTCCAAAAGGGCTTCCCTTCACATAAATTTGCACATCTTTTGCATCTGCAAGGCCATCCAAATACTTCCCAAGTTCCCCCTTTGGATCTATTTCCAACAGTCCAAGAAAAAAGAAAAATCGGCTTTTAGGTTAAGCAAGTGGTAGAATTTCAGATGTTAATTCTCAAGGGAGATGATATCCGAACACGCATGTTCATTGTGTGCTAAAAATATACAGTACAAGAGGAGAAAATGAGCATGCGGTAATCACTTCCAAAATAATAAATGTATCAAATTCTCGCCATACCTAAGTCTTTGTCGTTGTCATTCTCAGCATCATATGACTCCAAGAAGATACCTGTGTTAGGCTGTGACATGAAACAAAGAAAGCAACTTTAGAATGATTCAAGATGGCCATTGTTGCACTCTCATTTTCCCCTTCTGCACTCCTTCCATTTCTGTCATTTGATTCTCCTTCAAAATTCAATCCAAAACCTAGGAAAAATTGGAGTGCCGAGGGAGAAAACGGGAGTCCGAAAAAAAAGGAGGAAGGCAGATTTGTGATGACTATACAGGATTCAATAGGGCCTTGTAAGGTTTATCATCAATGGAAAGTGTATCAGATTCTGAATACTTCCCGCTAAAATGGCTCCACACTTTGTCCAGTTCTTTGAAAAATAGAGGCTTGTGTTTATTCTCTAGCGACTTCAACCCAGAGTCAGTACATTCATGTTGATCCTATTGAAGAAATACATATCAGCAAATCTTGTCACCAAACATTTACCAATATATATCTCAGTAATATATGTATATGTGTGTATAGCTTTAATATCTTACAGTTCTTACCCAAACAAATGACAGTCGTCTTCTCAGCTTTCCCATTACACAATCCAAAACACTATCCACATTTTTTCTGTTAATCAGTCATTCATGGCACAATAAACAGAGTGAATAGGAAGTATATGACAAATGAAAATCATGAAGAAACAGAAGTATAACTCGACATGATAATCAGTAGACAAGAACATTAATAGCATGTTTACTTACCAAAAACGAGAACAAGTCTAAATGATATCGTTCTAATTCCTAACTTCTTCATGTTTACAGTCAAAAACAAAAAAGAAATAAAAAAAATAATGTTGGTTTCATCTTAAAATCAGGAATTAGATACTCTCGGAACCAAAAATTGGATCAACTAGATGAAAGTTGATTCATTTCGCCTGTTTGAGTTACCTGCTATAAGTTCCCAAATTCATAGTTGATAATAAACATGCCATAAAAGTTAATTAGAATATAAAACATTGGGTGTGCACTTACTCTTGGGCAGAACTCCATATTCCAACTTCAAATCTTTCGAAACAAAATTGCATGAATTCCTCACAAAATGGTCTCTTAAAAACTGCAACGTCAAAGAAGAGGGTGGTCAAACCTAAGGCGAATGTACATTGTAAATTGCGAATGTAACATGTAGTATTAATTCTAAGTTTTTTTTTTTTTACTGTTTTTTAATACAAATGATATTACTATTATAATTCATACTAAGAGAAGGACAATTTGAACTCGGTAGACATCATGCTACAAGCTCTAGTAGACGAGAAATTCATCGTTATCCACAAGTCATTGGTAAACTTTTTTGAAAGTGTAATGCTAGGTAGACAAACTTTTTAAATTATATTTGCAAATCATGTGATATGTCAGCAATAAAAAATATGCATGTTAGTAGATCTTCATATTTCTCCCTACACGAAATTCCACTCTCATCTGTCTCACAACACTTCAGTAATAATCCGACAGTCATCAACCACGTTAGGTTTACAAAATATAATTTAAATTACCTTTAAATGCTATGAACAACACTCTAATTCAAAGATTGGTATACGTACCTAGATAGCTTCCATATGTGCCATCAGGAGTACGATTGCTCGGAATTTTTGTCCCGTTGTGGAGGGAAACTCTGTGGACGATCAAGCCATTGAGGCTAAAGATTACAAGCTTCTTCCTTGATCCTATGTTTAGCTTCTCCAGAGAAAGGCCGCAATCGCTTCCGGTGTCTTCGTTGCCATCATCGTCGCCGTCATCGCTGTCATATTGATGCTTGTTTTTACAGATCCTTTCATCAGCCATAGTTCAAAGCAATGATGTAACAAGTAGCAATTTTGCCGATTAACATATGGTGTCGTCGGTTTATAGAGGAAGAAGAGACTGCTGGCTTTTCATCTTCTGTAAATGTTTGTCGGTCAATTTATAGAGGAAGAAAATACTGTTGGCTTTTCATCTTCTGTATATGTTTATCTAGTAAATGGTGGCAAAAACCGAAGAGTAAAGAGAAAAATGGTCCTGCAAATGGCTTTGGATACCCTAGTCAAAAGATGAGAATGACTTGAAAAATGCCACTCATTTTTTATGACGTCAGATATTTGACTAAAAAATTAATCGTGATCCTATGATATTAGAATATCTTCAAATGAAATGTCAAATTTTGAACTCAAAATTAAAATTTGACAACCTAAATGACATTTTGACATCTTTTAAAGTTTTATTGTCCACCCGATATGTCAAATTAAATTATTATTTTATTATATTATAAAATAAATGATTAAATTAATAAAAACTTAATAAAAGGCATTTAATAATTATGAAATTCGAACCGGTCACCATTTCTTTTTAACAAGAGGGAAGTAATAAAAAGCATTCATAATTAATTTTGAAGCTGCTCTCAAATTTGACAGCAACTCTCTTGCTACCAATTCATGTTATCGTCACATAGGATTTGACATTTTGGTTGGAGAACATTAGTGTGATCTTTTTTTACTGTTATAGCTTATGTGGACATTTTGACATCTTTTTTGGAGATACTCTTACTATTCACTTATAAAGAGGGGCTCTTAAGTTTTACTCATTTAGACGACGAGTTTAATATCTAATTGTAGTGTCTGGTCATCTCAGTCCAAAACCTTTTAGCTTTTAAAGTAGAACATTAAAATCCTCCAATATTCAACGGTCTGGACCAGTTATCCCTGCATCACTACTCACACAATCGTCATATGGAGTCATATATTTTTTTCTTTCTTTCTCGTCACGTGACACGTATTGAAGCAATGTCAACCAACAACTACAATTGGATATCCACTTCTTTTAACCGACCCAAGATTAATGAGGACCAAATTGCAGTTTTCTTTCTAGCCCATTATAACAACAAAGATTTCTAACAATTGGGCTTGTAAAGACAAAATTCATGCACCATGGTCCAAAATTCTTCAAAATTTGTGCAGAAGCTTCTCAAAGTTACCACATAAAGGATAATAATTCCTACAACAAAACGTGGGAGTCTCCCATACCTCCACAGGGCAGAAGGTTGTAGTAATAGCCCACTTTTCCAGCACCTTCTAGTACTCTCTCTCTCTCCCTCTCTCTCTCTCTTATATACACACCCAAGAGTAAAGACAGAGACCTGGGTTTTAGTTCAGTAAGGCATAACATCAAAACTTGGAGTGCATAACAAAATGAAGCCAATCGACGACAAGAAAGACAAGGTGACGATCGGGGCGGTGACCCACGACGAGGAGGGCCGTAAGAGGGTGGAGAAGATGGAGCTCCCCACCCACAACATCGACAGCATCAAGTACGTCGAGAAGAAGCTCATAGACAAAGGCGTGCAGCGACTCGAACGCCACCCGAGAGACGGGACTGGGATCGGGAGGCCGCCGCCTAAGTCGGGCCACGGCGGCAAGTACACTTGGGAGGGACCTGGCGACGAGGTGGAAGTTGAGATGGACCCGGTGCCGCCGGCGATCGACGAGAGGGACCCGAACTACGTGGATGAGGAGACGGAGAAGAAGATTGTGAAGGGGGAGGACGATGATGCGGCGGGGTTGGTTGTGGGGGAGGTGGAGGTAGCGAAGGCGGCGAAGGACAGGGAGGGGGTTGCTAGAATTGAGGTGGTTAGTCCTCGTCACCTCCAGACTTAAGTTGCTGATCTTTGTAACGTAACGGTGTACTTGAAGAGCTTACTAAAATTAAAATGTTGTGACCTGTCTTGCGTGTAATTATTTGGTTTTGCATGAAAAATTATGTATGCTTTCTTTTAATAAATATGCTTTAATTTTGTATTGAATTTTATGATAACATTTCACTTTCTAAATTTTGGTACCTAATCTTGTGGAAGATCAAATTGTGGGGGCTTATATTAAGCATGTTCTGCGCCTTCGGGTTTGTGTTGCACATCCATCTTCTTTTTTTTTTTTTTTTTTTTTTAAGAAACGATATTATTTATATTAAGAAGCTTCTTAATAAATTAGTAACAATGTATCAAAACTTCAAATTTAAGATTTTTCACATACAAAAAGAAGAACATTATTAAATGTAGTATTAAATGAAAAACTTAAAACTTAAAATATGCTGCTTTGGGCTTTTAAACAACGAAATTCGGCCTAAAGCACCCATATGGTCTTTATACAGATCATGTGGACCTTTAAAATCATCCTCAAGCCTCTTTGTTGATTTTATGCTTGTCTAGATGCCTTTTTTAAGGTCCGATAAACGAGTTGTATTTGTTGTATTTGTGTTATTTTCGTGTTATAATTGTTATCGTAATAGGTTTAATGTGTTTTTAACATGTGACCTAATAAGGATCTTATTCAACGGGTCGTGTTGTTTTATGTCAGGTTAACGGGTTGTGTGAGAAATTATCATGCTTGATGTTTAAATTTGACAAATGATATCTTATTCGGCTTTTAACCGGTGACATGATAGTAACTCAATATGTTAACGGGTTCTTAATGGGTTACTCGATAAGAGCCTGACTTCTTATTAGGTTGACTCAAAATTTGTTATTTTCATGTCATTTATTGTCGAGTTAATAGGTCATGTAAGAAATTGTTCAACCAATCTCCTCCCCTCCTATTGCCTTATCCTCCCCTTCTCTCCTCTCTCCTCACTTTCTTCTTTTACTCTCTATAAAAAATCAACACAAATGTTGACGTGGCTTAATTGTGGCAGTTCAAATAGGTGAAGAAAATAAAATTTTGAAGAAGTGAGAATCATACTCTATAACAAAGATCATGTTCAATAGCTAAGGCCTTAATCAAATGAAGCGATCTTCTAGTATTTAATTGATAAAACCCAAATGGTGACCCAGCTCATCACATCACTCCCATGCAACAGTTTCGTAAGCATTAACTTGTCCAACATGGAAGTTCAAGAGTGATGCCACACCCAGGGCTGAAGGGGTAGAGGAAGACCTAGGAAAACTTTGAAAGAGATTCTAAGAAAAGACTTAGAGTACTTGGATTTAACAGAGGACATAACACAGAACCGAGCGCAATGGCGTTATAAGATTCATATAGCCGACCCCACTTAGTGGGAAAAAGCTTTGTTGTTGTTGTTATATAATTATTATCGTTAAAGAGAATAGAAAATTCGAAATTATTACAACAATAAAAAAAGAAAGAGTTTTTAACTTGGGACTCATTCACTAAAATATTGAACCATATGCAAAAAGTAAGCCAATTAATGCCACACTATAATCGTTTTTACATCACTTTCCGTATTCTAAACTTATGGATTATTTCACCCCAAAAAAAATCTTATGGATTAAGTGTCTGACTCATCATCGTCTCAGTATTTTGTTTTCGTGATATCTGGACTCCCTATCTGAAGCTAAGCTTAGTAATTGACCACCTTTTTTATTTTTTTTTTATTTTTTTATAACAAATGATATTATGTACATTAAGAGAGAGATGATAACCTTAACCTTACGATAAGCTAATAATAATGCGGTTCAAATTCATCATTGGCAATAATCGAACCTAAAATTTCTCTTACAAGTGAAAAGGAATACCACTAGATCGTAGTACTAAGTGACATTGACCATCTTGTTCAGAACACCAAATTTCGTTGAAAATCCAAATTTCTTGGCACGTTTATTTGAAAGTGTTTTTCTAATCTTGAATTTTTGTGAATTTCAATTAAACAAGGACAAGATTTTTACGAAACATCGATGTATAGCATGCATTGTCTTTTACGTGGTGCAGTTTCACTTGTTAAATTTTCTGGAATTCTGCAATAAATGCCTAGCTGTTAAATTCAGCAATATCCGTTACATTGTTGTAATCTTGAATTTTCAAGTAATTTAGGTATATTTTGACCGCTGGAGTGACACGTGTTAGAGATGTTGTGGATCTCTCACCAGAATTGTCCAATCATTTGAATTTATTATTTGAAGATGAAGAAAGCCATACGCAAGGTTTTGTTCCAGAGAAGAACAAAATGGATGACAGCACAAGGAGTCTTAAGTTAAGGGGAGAATGATTTGATGGCTGGTTGCTGAAACGAATCATGTCTCTGGCTCTCTGCATATCTGAAGCAAAAGGGGCGTTCCAACCTTTTTAATGATAATTGACAAACTAACAATTGCGTTAAGTTTGTTAATTACTTGTTTGTATTCGTCTAATGTCGTATTACTTGAGATAAAGAAAGTTTTTTCAAGAACGTGCGTGAAGAATGATTTGTATTAAGTAATGGGATCTATGTCCCTTTATCTCCTAATATGGCAGAAATGATTAGCTTGCATTCCATTCGTCAATGGAGTCTCAGCTGGCTTGGAAATCATCTTTGAAATGATTAGCCACAAAAATGTAAAAAAAGTTATTAAAGGGATCCAAAGTGAAGATCTCAAATTTAATCAACTCAAAAAAAGTTAAAGCACAAATTTAATATTTTACGCCACCATCTTCTTCGGCCAATTTCTTATGGTTAATCATCTAGATTGAAGCTCACTATTTAGAATCTATATGAGAAATGATTTGCGTACTCAATTTCTACCCTTCACATTGTTATTCATTTATGATATTTGGATAGAATATAGAGAATTTTAACGAAAAGCTACCGGTACTGTTCATTTTAACGAAAAATCACATTTTTACACTAAAAAGTTAATCCTGGTACTATTCATTTTACCTTTTATTTTGTCCTTATCGTTAAAACTCAAAATTTTCAAGCTATTTTCATTAGTTTTCTTTAGAATATATAAAACTAAAATTACGAAGAGTAGAAAAAATGATTGTTGAAATTATTTCTTTAATGAAACGGAAATTCAAAATGCAACTTAAATAACAAGTTTTGTACAAGAAAATATGAAATTTGCTGCAAGTGGTGGATTGCTCTGTTAGAGTTTTCCTCTTCAAGACTTCAACCCACTAGTTACCAGGTTCAAAGCTTCCCCCCTATCCTTACTGTATAATTTTGCTTGTAAATGTACACATTTTGGTTACTTAATTTCAAAGTTCAACAATTTTCTTGGTTTCATAAAACAAGTAATTAGCCATGAAAAAGATATAACTTAACTTGTTGAGATTGCTACATTTTGTGCACTAGCTTCAAGTTTTTCACAAAGTTTGTTGTGATTAAGATGAAATAATAAGAATCGAATCATTGACCTAACCTAATCCTTTCTCAACATTCCTAACTACAAGGCAAATTATTTTTAATTTCATTTTAGGCTAAAATATAATTTTTAAAAGTCTGAACGCTGATTTTTTTTTTTCGCCTTTCATTTATTCTCACTTTTTTCTATTTATACAATATGGTGAAAGGGACTTATGAACATACTTTCCGAGTCAAATTCAAAATGGGTGTGAGATGAGTGGAATATGGTATGGTGTCTAGTTCAACAAAGACATATTTCACATTAGATAACATAATAGAGTGAACAACATCAAAGAGAATTGTATAACAAGTTTGTTAAAACATGGTGGATGGGAGATCATTTCTATTATATTTCATATGGGCTCCAAGCCCACCAAAAAGTTTTCAGACCCCAAAAAACAGAAAATATAAAATAATTAAAGAATAAATAATATATGATTAAAATGTCAAACTGCTTTTAGACAAAATGTTTTTGGGCTTCAAAAGCACTTGAAGTGCTTCATTCAAGAAGCATTAGTTATGTGCTTCTTCTAGTTATATGTTTCTTCTAGGAAGCACTTCAAGTACTTTTATGGGATTTACTTGTATTTTTACTAAAGATTGGTTTAAAAAACATTTTCACCAAAAGCGTATTTAGTCATTTTCAAAGTCCAAACGAGCTATATATCTCTTTGAAAAAAAAAAAAGTTAAGTGCACTAACCACAGTAAAAAAAAAGGATAGTGCTATCCAACACCCACTTCTACCTCCTACACAACTCTCTTAATTTCCGATCGTCAGATTGAATGAATTGGAAGAAGATCAAAGACAAAAAATTAACAAGCATGCGTGGGAAGTAAAAATAAGTGTGTAAATAGCACTATCCTAAAGAATATGTACATAACATAGGAAAATTGAATACTTCACTTGATTGGTTTTCCTATAGAGTAATTATAGGCAAATCAACTTTTTATTTTTTATTTTCCAAAATAAAAATAAATAAATAAACACGTTAATCATGTGATATGTCTCAAATAATAAATAAACACGTTAATCAACGCTTAAGTAATAATCCAATAATCAACAACCATGCCATATGGTTTACAAAATTTAGTCTAAATAGTTGGTCTAGCATTACCATTTGATTAAAACAACAATTATTAAAAGAAATATTAACTAGTTTTTCGTATCATCTCCTCTAAATTAAGAAAAATCTCAATAGTTTTCGTTGATATAATTGACATAATAAATCTAGACACACAGAATTAATTACATTATTGATAATTTTTCTAATACGGATCAACTCACTGCAGATTGAAATGTGAAAGGGGATCATTCCAAAATTGAAAAAATTTGTTCATTGGTGACATTAAAAATTTTAAATGCTAATGCAAATAATTGTAAATTGGATATGCTTTGAACAACATACTAGTTTTAGGTGATGAAAAAGATAGATAGGTGACTATTAATTCAGGTTTTTTTTCAGAGATATATGCAACTATTAATTAATTGTAAATTGGACACAAATTTTCACAGTCATACACAAATAAGGGTCATCATTACGGGTTAATATAATTATTCTTCACTTATAAGGTCATTTTTAACCAAAGGCTCTAGGCCACATTTAGTCTTAAATTTGATAAAATTAGTCCCTAATTAAAGGGCTAAAGAGAGTCAGGCTAAAAGATTCAGGCTAAATTTGGTATCGTGACAAGCAACATGTAACCTCAAAATAGTCTTTAAAATATTAATTTTTGGAGGACTAAATGGCTTAAGTGGTAGTCGTTAGGTTTTAGTGTTTGTGAACGGCGAGTTGTCATTTATTATTCAATTTGGTTTTTGAATTTCATATTCCTCCAAGTTTGTTACGCTCTCTGTCGTTTATAAGGCCAATATTTCTACCTAATTATACACACTCTATTGGTGTACGTTGACTCGATATAAATCTAAGGCCGCAAAGAGTAGTCTTACATTAGTGCATGGTTGAATTAAATGGTGAATACCTTTACCTCTAAATTTTTTGGTTGTAAAAAAATTTAAACAACTTCTTGATCTATGCGTATCATCCTTCTTAGGGTTGGGCATTAAAAAAAAACCGATTGAACCGTCCAAACCGTACCGATGGGTTGATTTGGTAGGGTTTTTTTTAATTTTTTAATTATTTTTTTATTTTTGGTGGTTAAACCAAACCGCACCGATCATAATCGGTTTGGCAAGCGGTTTTCAAAATTCTTCAGATGCGGTTAACCGAACTGACCCGCATATACTTATTTTATTTTTATAACCATAATTAATACGTGTAATAATATAAATAATTAGTTATTTACGAGTTACTCTGTATCCACCACATAAAAATAAAACATGATTAGTTTAGGAGTCCCTTTTTGTCACAGCACATCCCAGAGTATTATTTTTCGACGACATGAAATTACAATATACCCTTGAACCTTATGGTGTGTGATATGTTGGTTGCGGTTTCATTCCTAATTTTCCCTAAGTTTTGAAAGGACTTAAGTGCTTTGTTTTGGTTTGTTGGGGACAAACTAGGACCACATAACACACCCGTGCTCTCTCTCTCCTCCCTCACGGATTTTTCTGAAAAATCCGTACAATTGTACGGATGAACTTTGGAACCAACCGTATACGCACGGATCGATGTCAAGAAGGTAAGATTCGAACTCCTTGCAAGTCTTTGAGTTCATATATGCCATTTTTAGATCGTGAAACCCTCAAATCCCCGAGAAACCATCACCCCCGATTTGAGTAATGTTCACGTGGTCGTAATTATGGATGTTTCAGGGGATTTTAAGCGCATAGGAAGTTTTAGGATGTTTCAGGGGATTTTAAGCGCATAGGAAGCTTTAGGACGTTCTTACGAAGCTCGGAGAAGAAAAACCAAGCAAAATGAACGTCAGGAGACCTAGTTTTGACGAGTTGCAATTTGGCAGAATTATCGAGGAATTTTCCGGCGTGATTCTGTAATTTTTGGAGCTTGAAATTGGTAAGAAAGTGTTTTACTCGTTGTAAGCTTAATTTGGTATAAGTTTCATGAGTTTTTGTGCAAAAATGAAGAAGTTATAAGGATTTTAAGATTTTCCAGTTTCCGGCGACAGCGACGGTCGCCGAAGTTCAAAGGAAGAAAACAGAAACTGGAAGGAATATTCTAACGCCGTCAGGTAGACTTAACGATTTTTGTTGTTTTTAACGGAATATTCCTAATGGCAATTAGGTTTCTGTCAGGGTTACTCGCGCGTGGGTGATTGGATTTTTTTTCTAAAAACATGAGGATGTTCGTGAAAGTGTGTAGATCATGTTGGTGTATTCAAACATCCCATTTGAGCAATGTATGAGAAGTTATTAACTAGTTTTGTCCATATGCTTTAAATAACGTTTATTCAGTTATTTCGCATATAGGTGAGACCTATCTCGAGGACGAGCGCAGTCAAAGGCGACTCGGGGGCTACGACCCTTCGACATACCAGTGAGTGGGCTGTTGGTTTTCAGTATATATTTATATACTTGATATTTTCCCAGAAAATGTGTTTAAATGAAAGTATGCTTTGAAAATGCCATGCCTATTGAATTATGCTTAAACCATGAGTTAGAATTGTATGCATAAATGTGATTTGGTGCTGTGGACGCTTAGATAAGTTTATGAATTTTGAATGTGAATTGAATGGTTGTGATTAATTGAGAAACTTCGAGCTCATAAACCTGCACCCTGGTGATTGTGATTTAGTTAGAGATAAGGTACATGTCTGTTTATGATGTCATTACCCGCACCATATGCTCACATTGGATCCAATTTAGGTGCATAGCCTTGTAGTACAGACCATTATAGGTGGTTCCGACTCATAAGTGACTAGCGAATTATCGCGCAACTATCGTGAGAACGTAGCATTGAGCATAACTATATTCACTCAGTCTTGTCGTACAAACCATTACAATGGTTTCGACTCGTGTGCAGGGTGCAGTGCCGTATAGGTCACTGGCGGTGACTCCAGCTAGATTGATTAATGAGCTATAAATTCAGTCGTACATACCTCTGCAGGGGTTCCGGCTAATATGTTATTTTCCATGAGCTTATTCTCACCTGAGTTACTTATTATTTTCTATATTTGACATGACATACTTATGTTTATGGTTATGTGAAGCATGATTTGAAATATATATATATATATATATATATATATATATATATATTCCATTTCTGGTAAAATTATACATGTTTTACGGTGAGGGGTTAGAAGAAATTTTAATGAAATGGTTCCAAAACTTTCTGTTTGCGCCCTTCAGGTTTTAGATAAGGGGTTGCTAGTGGAAGGTTGATTAGAGTGACGACTGCAATTAAAGGCATTTTGGTGTCGTTTAATTAGTACTAACTTTAGGTTTAGCTATTTAATCTCCTCTTCTAGAGTTGGTATTTAATCTATATCATTATTGCTTCGGTACTAGGTCACATCAGTAGGGCATGTTCAATCTCGGTGTGTGTCACTTTTCCTTTTATAAGCATATGCCTTTAATAATTATATGCTTTATTAATTTGTCACCATTTGGTGAGTTCTTGTTTGGTGCATGCTTGAATCTCATTTGTTTTTTCTTTTTGGCTCAACCATACTTTTTAATTTAGCTTTTTGAAATTTTTTGTTTTTTTTCGTCTCCTTTACTTTTTGTGTCTTTTTTAGAATGCCTCAATAGTCTCTATTTTGCGTTGCATACAGAAGGTAATGTGAATCCTAGAAAAATTGCTATTTTCAAATAAGCATTCACAATCACGTGATTTAAGTCCACTATGGCATCGGCGTTTAAAAATTGGTGTTTTGGTGTTAGAGGTCAAGTTTTTAGATAGAAGCTTAGCGAAGCGCACCAAAAATTTCAGTTTATTTATTGAAGCATTTCGTTGAACACCTATTGGTCTTGTTGTCGTTAGCAAACCACACATGTCAACAAATATCAACATATGTCAAAGGGTGATATCGAGAGAATTCATCAAGTGTTGTACGCAATCTGTTGAAATATGCCCAGTAGGTATTACTTCAAACACTTGAAGAGTACAAAAGAGACCTGTACAGAATATTTGGAGGATTCTCGGAAGATCTTCTTATGTATATTTTTCTGACTCCGACATGGGACCACGTTCCAGAGCGCGTGGCCCCTTATAGTAACAACACATACTAGACAGTAATTTTCACATTTTCGTTTTATTTTTTTACATTGTTTTACTCTTATTATTCTTATAAAAGCCAGAAATAACCGAAGCAATGAGATGCAAAGAGAACAAGTAGCATTTACTACCCGGAATTCCAGCAACTAGAGAGAGTATCAGATATAAAGGCTCCACACCAAATACAATTTTATATTCAGTGCTATAAAGTACCCGCCTGAAAAAATTAAGCCAAAAAATGGTAGAAAACCCCATTATATTGTGTTTTAGCTATATTTTCTCTTTGTCTAAAAAACAAAATCCCCATTCCCCATCCAATATTAGATTGTAAATATGGAAATATAGTTGGAAACATCCCACCTTAAAAAATGATTACTCAAAATTTACTTTTTTAGTCATTTTTATAGGAATTTCTCCAAAAAGACTAATGATCATGAGCGTTAGGTGACAAATTTGGTAAACGGCTATTGACGTCATATGATGTCAGCCGCCGGTAAAACCCGCCGCCGGCACGTTTGCATTTTTCTCTTTTCTATTTAGAAAAATGCTAAAAAAAAAAAAACTAATGAAAATGATTTGAAAATTTTGAGTTTTAATGATAAGGACAAAATAAAGGGTAAAGTAAATAGTAACATAATTAATTTTTTAATATAAAAATATGATTTTTCGTTAAAGTAATTAATATCAAAAAAATTTCGTTAAAGTTTCAATAAAATAAAAAAAACATATTTGGGAGGACTGAACTGGAGGCTTATAAAAGAGGTAGAGAGAGAGACCACAAAACTGCCAAAACACCCTAAAAACCCAAAGAAATTAGAGAGCTTTTTATTTCCATTACATTTTACAACTAGCCTTTGCCTTTCTGTTTCTGATTTTTCTGTTGCCACATTGTGTGTATATATACACACATATATACACACACACACACGCATATATGCGCTGTTCTTCCTCTGTTTTTTCCTTGTTTTCTGAAGCAGAAAAGTCTCTGTATTTTTAGAAAAAAGGGGGAAAAGAAAAGAAACGGAGCTTTTTTTTTCCAATACAAATAAATATTCAGTTCAGCCGGTCAATTGTTTGTGTTTTTCTGTGCATTTGAGCTTGAAATATCAAATGTGGTGGAGGTTGAACCACTGAAACTTCAGCTCTTCTCCATTTCCATCGTTTTTCCGATCAAACAAGTAAGTTCTCGTGATTTTTTTCATAAAAATCCATTTTGTCTTCTGGGTTTTTCTCAAATTCCAAAAAGTTTTTGTCTTTGCACTTTTTTTTCTCTTCCCATTTGCTCCTCTTTTTTCTTGAAAAACTCCAAATAAAATGTATTTCATTTTTATTCAGTTGATTTTCTTCCAAAAATGATTGTTTGGTGTTTTGTCTGTGCATTTGAGTTTTGAAATTCAAAAACGGAGAGGTTGAACCACTGACTTAAAGCTCTTCTCCATTTCCATCGTTTTTCCGATCAAACAAGTAAGTTCTCGTGATTTTTTTCATAAAAATCCACTTTTGTCTTCTGGGTTTTTCTCACAATCCAAAAAGTTTTTGTCTTTGCACTTTTTTTCTCTCCCATTTGCTCCTCCTCTGTTTTCTGCGACGAAAAATCGAAGAAAAACTCCCAAATGGAGCGACTGCCGACTGCGGCGATGCTCCCGGATTCATTTCTCGGCGCCAGAGACGACATTTCCATGCAAATGGGGTTGATTTGGGACCAGATCAAGGCCCCATTGATCGTTCCTATGCTGCGACTCGCCGTCGTTCTGTGTCTGATCATGTCGGTGATGCTCTTCGTCGAGCGGCTGTACATGGCGGTCGTCATCGTTCTGATCAAGTTCTTCGGGCGGAAGCCGGAGAAGCGGTACAAATGGGAGCCCATGAAAGATGACGTGGAGCTCGGGAACTCGGCTTATCCTATGGTTCTGGTCCAAATCCCAATGTACAATGAGCGAGAGGTCCTTATCCTTAAGTCTTTTCCTTAATTATGTTTTGAGGCGAAACGATAGCGGTTTTATTTACGGTCTAGTTTTTGAGTTAATAACATTGATTAGGTTTGTGTTTTGGTGATTTCATTGTCGTTGCAGGTTTATCAGATTTCAATTGGAGCTGCATGCGGGCTTTCATGGCCGTCCGATAGGATCATCGTCCAAGTACTTGATGATTCAACTGACACAACCATCAAGGTCACTAGCAAAAATCTTTTCTTTTATACGTCTAAACAACCTAAATATTTGGAAAGGGAATTTGAGCACGAGTTTATTCGGCTGCCTGACCAACTGACTTAAACTACGCTTATAAAAACTCAAACATTTCATCAAATTTATACCAATTTTATATTTTCCTATGTTTTGGAATAATTCTCAAAGAAAATTTAGTTGGCTAAGCCATTCTGTTGGCCCCTTGAACCCAAATTTGAGTCACTTTTTCATAAATTAGAGTATTTGAGTAGTTTAGAATATTTCTCTTAAAGTAAATTGATGGAAATGATCAGCTTACAAATCTTAAGAGTTGATATAATTATTTTTTAGTATTGGTGGATATATCGTAAATATTCGATTGACATGTCATCTGTATTTGATTTTGATCAGTTCAGCAATCGAAATTTGTAAAATCATTGTAGTCAACTTCCCTGTAAAAACAACCCAAATGCTCAAATTTTAATTACCAAGTTAAAATTTGGAAATTTGGGTTGTACTAATTGTTAAATTAAAATGCAGGAGATGGTGGAGCTGGAGTGCCAAAGATGGGCAAGCAAGGGGATAAACATAAAGTACGAAATAAGAGACAACAGAAATGGCTACAAAGCTGGGGCGCTCAAAGAAGGCATGAAGCGCAGTTACGTCAAAAGCTGCGATTTCGTCGCCATTTTTGACGCCGATTTCCAGCCGGAGCCCGACTTTCTCTGGCGGACCATCCCCTTCCTCCTCCACAACCCTGAGCTCGCCCTCGTCCAGACTCGCTGGAAGTTCGGTTAGTTCTTTAATCCCCCATTACTCTCAATTCTTTGATTCGTTTGGCCGTTTTGAAATTGCTTTTGGATAAAACACTTATGCTCATAAACACTTTTAATATAAGTGTTTGTGTAAAAGCACGTTGAAATTTATAAAGTATAAGTGCGTCTTAGAAAAACATTTGGTTGAAAGTGCTTATTTGAAAAGCATTTTTACGACCTCAGTGGTTTAAGTTTTTCTGTCGAAATTAATCAAAATCGCTTGCATAATCAAACAAGCGTTTTTTAGTTATTTCAGAATCTAATTCTTATTTTGTAATGTAGTGTTTAATTTGATTTTGGTTTATTTTAGTTGGGTTTTAAAATCAGATTTGTAAGTATTTTGAATATTTACGTATTTTGTTCGTTTATTGTATATCGTGTAATTATAAATAATTTTAAATTTTATTATTTAAAATAAAAATCATAAGTACGAACACAATTCATAACTTCTGGGAATAGAGGATCCGGATTCCTAAACTCAGGATCTGTCTTGACTTGAAAACTGTCGGTGCCTCTGTGCTGGTTTGAGAAGATTTCTAGGAAGTAGGTGGGCCGCTCCTTGGGTTGTCCTTTTTCCTTTGCTGTGATTGTCTTGTCGCTTGTTTTGTTTGCCACGTGTCCGAACTTTCTGTCTCTTCTCTTTTCTTTAGAGTGTATCTTTGATGTTTTCTAAACACAATCACGTCACATGATTATTTTACTAAAATTAAAATATGTAGTTTATATATAGTTGATAAACTATAAAAACAGAACATTTTGATCTTATTGTGCACACATATTATAACATGTGAAAAAAGATCATGATCATCTCTTGAGCTTAGAATGTTGAGCTTTATGAGCAAATCACACGGTCTGTTGGATCAAAATTCAACGATTACAAACAGAAAACACTTTAAAAGTTATAATAATTGCAGTCGTTGAATTTTGATCCAACGATTCGTGTGATTTGCTCAGTAAGCTCAACCTTCTAAATATCACTTGAAGCAGAGCATTTATGTTACTTGGGACCCACAGTCCAAAGCAACCCACACGAAAAATCAGTGTGGAAAATCAAAATCAATGGCATTGTTGCTATTTCCATCAATGCATGCAATTTTGAGGACCAGAAAACCCAGATGTTATTTTCAGCACTTTGTCTGTTTTAATCCGTCTAATACATCTGTGATGCTATTAACAATTAATAAATTCGTTGTTGGGGGGTTGTGGGCATCTGTGGTCACAAATGGAGAAATGGCAAAGCTCTTAGCTGGATACATAATCCCCAAACTTTAGTTTTAAAAGATATCATCTAGTGGTTTTGTCACGATAGTTCATCTTTTTAGAGGCCAAGAGATTAGCTAGTAATTTTATCATGATAGTCACTTTTTTAAGGCTAAAAATACTCAAATTGGTATTTCAATCTCATTCTAACGATTATCGTGTGATTCACCAAACTTTTGGTTTTCATTAAATTATTTGACACATTTTGGCGCAAGTTAATTAGATATTGATAGGTTGACAGTAATTAAGTTGAAATCATTTAAAGCAAAGCAACTTTTACAGAGGTTTGTTAGTGACATATCAGCTTTGTGGCTGAAGGATTGGATGGACTATGTTGAAGGGTAACCTATAGTCTATGGAGATTCAATTCTAGATCTTTTTGAGAATGTTTTTGGAATTCGAGGTCTGTTTGGCAGAAATAATAAACAGTGCTTCTGAATAGTGTTTAGGGGTTTTTTTCCAAAAAGGAATGAGATTCTTTCTTTCCGAATCTTTTCCATCAAAATTCACTAATCAATTAATCTGAACCTTTTAAATTTGATTCAACGATTAAAATTATTATAATTTTTAAAATAACTTTATATTTGTATCCATTAGATTAAATTTTAAAGATTCGAATTAATTGATTAGTGAACTTTGGTGAAAGAGATTTAGAGCTTTCCAAAAACAGTATTGGGCCCGGATCTCTTCCCTTTCCCAAAAAGTATTGGGATTTTAATAATTTTTGAGCTCGTTTAGAATTGCTTTGGTAAAAGATACTTTTGCACATAAAACATTTTTGTTAGAAGTGTTTTTATTGAAAGTGTTTTCTGAAAAGCAAATGGTATGAATACCTTTAACTTTCTCTCTCAAATCTAATAAAAAAAAGCATATGTCATTCTACAAATGGAAGAACACTTAAAAAAAAATTTCTCTTCACTTATACCGCACCATGTTCCTCGGGTACATTGAAAACTCTCTCCTTGTTTGTACATAAAAATTTGCAAAGGCATGCATTGTAACATGGGACAGCAGCATGTGGCCATCTTTAATGGTGGACCTCAATTCCTTATATACCCTAGTCACACTCACACTCTACTCTCTAACTTTTATACATATTTGACCTAACTTTCTGCTAGCTCATTACTTTTTGAAAACTCGAGCCGAATTTGCAGCAGCTGTTTTCAGACTTCTTTTTTTACATATTTATTTTGGCAGTGAATTCAAATGAGTGCTTGATGACAAGAATGCAAGAGATGTCTCTGGATTATCATTTCACTGTCGAACAAGAAGTGGGCTCCTCCACTCACGCCTTCTTTGGATTCAATGGTAATTTATGCAAATTTTGAGCGGTCATGTGTTTGAATTGAGGGCTAATTCTGTTTCGATATACAATAATTTTATTTAGGCCCATAAAATCGACACATTGTTGAATAAAAGTGGCCCCACCCCACCATAGTATCATTGTACGTGAGATTCATCTGTATTAGAAATGATGTATGTCAGTAAGTGTATCAATTCAGTCTGTCAACCAAGTCGAATTGCTCTTCAGTAGTCATTTAGTTACACAGTGGAGAAAACCAGCACACTCTCTAATAGTGGTGGACCCTATCGTTGTATGCAAAACTCATTTGTATAAGAGAGTGCGTCTAAATAGTATTACTCTTCTTAATATATGTACTTTAACAGTCATTTTGTTATGAAGTGGAAGAAAATTGTATTACCATAAGCTAAATGGGTTGAGGTAGTATTATTAGTATGTATATGCTCAGTTCTGTTGGTATAATGATATATAGGGACTGCTGGTGTATGGAGAATTACTGCAATCAATGAAGCCGGAGGATGGAAGGACCGGACGACAGTGGAAGATATGGATCTGGCCGTTCGAGCGAGTCTCAAAGGCTGGAAATTCGTATATCTTGGTAGTATACAGGTACCATTACTGTCCTGTGCTTGTATATTTTTCTGCATTAACGTATTTTTGAGTGTTTAACCGATCGATCCAAATGTTGTGTTTTTGCTCACTAGTAGGGTTTAGGGTTTAGGAAAGCCAAAAAAAAGTTAGTTCTTTTGACTCAACGACGTACTGACATGAAACCCAACTTGTAGAGAGGGACAGATCTCTTAGCATTTGCATTACGTGAGATGCAAGTCTCATCTGACCTTTGGACGTATAAAACCGATTGTTTTGAATGCATTTTTAAGTTACATTTCATCAACTTTTGATTATGCCTCCACTTTGTTCCTAAAATTGGTAGATTTCAACTCCAAATGCACCGTAAACTTTGGATTCATGACGGATTTTGAGTGAAACATCATATCCTCATTTCGTTTGCTCTATAGGTGAAGAATGAATTGCCAAGCACTTTCAAGGCCTACCGATACCAACAGCACAGATGGTCTTGCGGTCCAGCTAATCTTTTCAGGAAAATGGTCATGGAAATTGTAAGCAACAAGGTGAGCGTTTTTCATAAATCGTATCGAATTTAACCAAGGGTGGGAGGTGAAGTGGAAATGAGTGAATAGCTAACCCTCTACCTTCATATGTTTAATGCAGAAAGTAACGTTCTGGAAGAAGGTACATGTGATTTACAGCTTCTTCTTTGTCAGGAAGATCATAGCGCATATCAACGCGTTTGTATTTTACTGCATTGTCTTGCCCTCAACTGTCATGGTTCCTGAGGTTGAGGTGCCAAAGTGGGGAGGGATTTATATTCCTTCCATTATTACCATTCTCAATGCAGTTGGCACTCCAAGGTCTGATTTCCTTTGAACTTCCGCTGTTTTTCCATTTCGATTTCTTTTTGTCTTCTACTCGGTTGGCATTTGATATTCATGTTCTACAATTTGCAGGTCAATCCACTTGTTGGTGTTCTGGATCCTATTTGAGAACGTCATGTCACTACACCGTACGAAGGCTACAATCATTGGTCTGCTAGAGGCTAGTCGAGTGAATGAGTGGATCGTGACTGAGAAACTTGGAGATGCTCTCAGGACTTTGAAGGCAGCCACGAAATTACCTAGAAAATCTCGATTCAGGATCGGAGAAAGGTACACGTTCTCACATATACTACTTCCCCAAAATGAGAATTTGATGTTCGATAATGCCTGACCGCAATTTGCCATTTGTGTGTGCTTTTTACATGTTAACAGACTTCATCTGTTAGAGCTAGCTGTTGGATTGTACCTCTTCTTCTGTGGCTGTTACGATTTTGTCTTTGGGAAGAACTACTTCTTCATGTTCCTTTACATCCAAGCAACTGCCTTCTTCATCATGGGTTTCGGGTATGTTGGGACATTCATTCCCAACTCTTAATCTGCAGAAACGCTATGAAATCATTCTCTTCTTCGAAGAACACCAGCGCGATTGTAAAGAGGGAGACCAACAACGAAAGGAAAAATGACGGCCAAATTTTTTACGTACAGCATAAGATATCGAGACTACTCGAAAAATTAGTTCTCTTGTGAATTGTCAAGAAAAGTAAGGAAATTAAGTTTTACAGATTGTTGTTATGGGAATGCAACACAAAAGGGGAAATGGCTTTTAGGTTGTAATTGTGAGATTTTTCTTTGATACTTTTTGTTTTCCATTTTTTGGTTTGATTTTGCTCAAATGAATAAACTCCATGGGAATGGAAGATGTCACAATTGTTCTCTCTCTCTCTCAAAATATGTACAAGAAAATTTGTTGCTTGGTATGGCTGCATGATTAGGGCATCTCTCCTAACGTGAAAACAAATGAGATTAAAATACGAAGTTTTTCTGTTTTTACAATAAATGCCTTATGGATGATGTGATCAGATACTCGGAATTTTTCATGGTATTCAGATATAAAAAAATGATTCACTATCCTCTGTCCAATGCAGAAAACAAAGCAGATTGATAATTCCAAACAATTCAACACCCATTCTTCCATTTCCGGATGCCATCATAGCAATCTTATTATCTTTCAGAGAAAATACAAAAATAGTAGAAAATGACACATTTCTGTAGCCCCACATAAGTGGATCAGACACTGAATTACAAAATGTATGGTCTTCTCATTTATGAGATTTTTTAGTATGTTCCGAAATATTCTATACTATATAGTTTTTAGCCGTTAAATTCTTGATACAATGGCTAAGTTTTAACGAAATAAATCAGTATAAGATACTTGGGAGCATGATACAAATTTATTTTGTGTTGGTCCAGCCATAACAGCTGTCAGATGCAAGCATATAAGCCCTTGAATTAATGCTGGAAAATGGTTTTATGGTACCCACAACCTACTAAAATGTTTGGTTTGGTTGGTGAAGGGGCTGGTCACATATCTTCTGTAAATTTTGTTCGTTGATTATTTTTAATTTATTTGATTCGATGGTCGGAAAAATTAAAACGAGGTGTGTAGGTAGCACCATCCTAACCAAGGGTGTTAGAAACATTTGTGTTGGTCTTTGGAGGAAGGTCTTGTTATTCTATATGCCTTACCAATTACCATTGACATATTTTGTATTATGAGTAATGGATTTGTTTAAGTGAAATTGGAGTATTGGTTCCTCAACAATAACTGAATTTAAGTTTTAGTCTTTGAATTTAAAATCCAATCAAATTGGTATTTGCATTTGAAAAAAATATAAAGAGCATTAGTTCCTATGCCAACTCTGAGAATTTCTGTCAAAATTAAGCACTTGAAAGTAGTAGGTAATCCTCCTTTTAAGAAACAAATTGGAGAAAGGGTGTGCTTATCACGTGTTTAAATTTGGCGGAAATCTCACGAGATTGACATCAAAATCTCAATTAAATACATTCCCTCAATTTGTGAATCCAAAAAAAATTTGGACAAAAAAAAAAAAAAAAAAAATTGGCCCAATGAAAAAGCCCATTGAAGAGCCTTCAAAGTTCAAAATCCATGAAGAAATCTCCATTGTTCTTTTGGGTTTTAATTACAAAGAGGGTTTTGGAAGGGTTTTACGATCAAATTAAGAACAACAAAAAAAAAAAAAAAAAAAAAAAAGGGATTTAGGGTTTTTGAAGGGTCAATCAAAATCCCGACTCCTCCTCCTCTGCGCTCTGCCGTGACTGCACCTCTCCTCCACCTCCAGGCGGTGGCTACTGTGGACTGCTGCTAACTCCTTCCTCATGTAAGTGTGTTTCTTTTTCCTTTTGTTCTTGAATTTCAGGGTTTAGCGATTTGTGGAATTGGGGAAATTAGGGACTGGAATTTTGAACCTGAATCACTGAATTCAGTAGTCTTCCTCTCTCTAGCTGCCTCAAAGTCGGAAAATTGACAAAATTAAATCATGAATTATACTGAAAGTAACAAATAAATAACAGATTGGCCGAATTTGGGAGTGTTAAGTGTTAGGTTTTATGAGGTTTGAAGGAACGACTATTGAATTTGAGTTAAGAAATTTTCAAGTACTTTGTTTTTCTCGAGAATGCGTGTTGGATGAGTCGAATTTAGGTGTTGTGTAGCTCTCATTTGTGACGTTCCGATTTGTGTACTTGGATTCTATCCCCTCATTGCAATATTTGTAGGCTATGTTTGGGTGAGGGATTTCCAAGTCCCAAGGGATTGATGCCAAGTTTGTAATAAAATGTTAGACAGGAGGGATTAGAACAACTCCCACGTATGGACTTCTACGTACGGATTTGCAAATCGTTCTCACAGCCTTTGTAATACATCTACACTTTTTTTTGTCATCAACAGGTGTGAACTTGGGGGAATGTCGTAGAAACGAAGGAGACTCTGTTGAAAGTTTGACAAAATCCTTCTGCTAATGAAATTTGGATTCGAAGTTCAGCCCTTTGCAGTTTTAATACCTGGGTCCGTAACTGATTACAGACCGAGACTCTGAAAAGTTGAAAATGGCAAGACGTGTTTATCTCCTTCCCAAACCCGTATTGAATGCCATCAACAAACCTCAAAATCCAATCTCAGTCCCTCTATCTTTCAATCTCTGCACAGACTCTGCTGACAACCAAACTCATCAACCACAGATTGAAGGCCCAACAGAGAACCACAACCCCACCAACATCCACGACCAACAACGCCATGAGCAAGTCCGAAAACTCCGAGTCCTTCTCCAGCAGGGTCGCTCTGAAACAGCACGGAGGCTCATCAAGTCTCTCATTCTCCCCGGTTCACCCTTCTCTTCCCCCACTGAACTCTACACCCTGTTTTCTCTCTCTGCACCCTCCATGAAACCCACATTCTGCGACATGCTTTTAGCCGCTTGTTCAGAGTCTAAGATGCCGACTGAAGCAGTAGAATTGTACAGTTTGATGAGGAAAAGTGGTACACGCCCTTGCTTAGCTTCTGTCAATGTGATGCTTGAATCTTTGGTGACTTCAAAGCAGTTTGGTAAGACCCTTGAATTGTTTTCGGAGATTTTCGAGTCAGGTCAGGGCATTCGACCTGATAAGTTCACGTATGGGAAGGCAATACAAGCTTCTGTAAAGTTAGGGGACCTGGAAAGGGCTGGTCAGCTAGTGAATTCAATGAAGATGAAGCGGATGAATCCAGGTGTGTTTGTGTATAATGTTTTACTCGGTGGGCTGTGTAAAGAGAAGAAAATGAGGGACGCACAGAAGGTGTTTGATGAAATGATTGAGGGAAAGGTGACCCCGAATTTGGTTACGTACAATACGATGATTGATGGGTATTCTAAGGCGGGTGAGTTGGAGAAGGCCTTTGAATTGAGAGAGAGGATGAAGGATGAGAATGTGGAAGCTAATATGGTCACATATAATACAATGCTCAGTGGACTTTGTCGGGTGAAGAGAATCGAGGACGCGAAAAGGATTTTGGAAGAGATGGAAGCTCACAGCTTTGCACCTGATGGTTTTACTTATAGCATACTCTTTGATGGGCATTTCAGGTGTGGGGATGGTGAGGGGTCACTGGCTTTATTTGAAGAAGCAATTAGTAAAGGTGTGAGGATTAATGGTTATACTTGTAGCATTTTATTGAATGGCTTGTGCAAGGAAGGAAACATTGAGAAGGCAGAGGAGGTTTTGAAGAAACTAATGGAAACTGGTTTTATTCCAGATGTAGTGGTATATAATACTATTGTCAGTGGTTATTGTCGAAGGGGTGAGATAGACAAAGCCATTTTGGCCATTGAACAAATGGAAGTACGCGGGTTAAAGCCAAACTGCATCACCTTCAATTCTTTGATTGACAAGATCCGTGAGACAAAGGATATGGATATGGCTGAGGAATGGGTGAAGAAGATGGCAAAGAGGGGAGTTTTTCCAAATTTGGAGACGTATAACATCCTTATTAATGGCTACGGGCAGATGGGTGCATTCGATAAGTGTTTCCAGATTGTTGAAGAGATGGAAAATAAGGGGATTAAGCCAAATATTGTGAGCTATGGTTCTCTTGTAAATGGTTTGTGCAAGGACGGGAGGCTTCTTGAAGCTGAAATAGTACTGAGGGACATGCTAAGCAGAGGGGTTTTGCCAAATGCACAAATATATAATATGCTCATTGGTGGTTGCTGTACGGTGGGGAATCTGAAAGATGCTTACAGATTCCTCGATGAGATGGCGAAAACTGGGATAAGTCCAACACTTGTAACCTACAATGCACTCATTCATGGACTCTGCAAGAAAGGACGGTTCATGGAAGCTGAAGACTATGTATCTCAAATTACAAGTAGCGGTTATAGCCCGAATGTGATCACATACAACTCCCTAATTTCAGGTTATTCTGATGCTGGAAACACCCAGAAATGTCTGGAATTGTTTGAAACTATCAAGAGTCTGGGCATGAAACCTACTTTGTATACATATCATCCTCTAATTAGTGGGTGTATCAGGGAAGATATGGTATTAGCAGAGAAGCTATATAATGAAATGCTACAGATGGGCCTGGTTCCTGACCGGGTTGTATATAATGCACTCATTCACGGTTACGCAGAGCACGGAGACACTCAAAAGGCACTTGCTTTGCACTCTGAGATGGTAAACCAGAATGTTTATGTTGACAGGATGACATATAATAGCTTGATTCTGGGGCACTTCAAGCAAGGAAAAATTTCAGAGGTAAAGGATCTGGTAAATGATATGAAGGCTCAAGGATTGACTCCTAAAGCCGATACGTATAGCTTACTTGTTAAGGGACACTGTGAACTGAAGGACTTCAGTGGTGCCTATTTTTGGTACAGGGAACTGTTTGAGAGTGGTTTTCTTCTAAATGCCTCGACGTGCCATGAACTTACATCTGGCCTTCAAAAGGAGGGGAGGTTGCGAGAGGCCGAGATTGTCTGTTCAGAAATGAGCGCCAAAGGAATGAATGACTGCAGCTCTAATGAGGAAGTGTTTTCTGTTGCCAACGTCTAGGGAACAGATGTTTGCCGTTCTTGAAGTTCTCCGCACAAGAATTGGCCAAGATATAAGTATCCCATAGCGTACATCTCCGCTGGCAGCCTGGCATATCCTTGAAGAAGAGCACAGTAAACTCCAAAAAGGTGTTGGTCAGATAAGTTCAGAAGTAATCCGGCAAAGATTGGCCGGTGGAAGCGAGCAAGGAGCTTTTCGTTGTTTCGTGGACTTGGGAGAGAGTTATCGATGTGAATAAGCTTCGAGCATCCCATATCTTCTCCATAAAAACCCAAAAATGTATGGTGTCCGTATAAGTTTATGGTGAATTTTAGTGCTGTATACCTTGTTTATCCTATTCGTCTTCAATGTGAATAAGCTTTTGGATTGGCGTTCTGAAAAGTTGCGATCTTCAAAGCTGTTTCAAAGCTCTTCGTTTTACTGGAAAATGGAATATATGTTGTCGAACGTTGATGCATCTAATTTGAGCATGGTTTTCTTCTAACCGTCTCCGCGTGCAATGAACTTGCATATAACCTTCAAGACGAGGTGAGGTTACGACTTACCAGAGCTCGGGATCATCTGCTCAGAAATGACGGTCAACGGAATGGATGATCGCAACTCTAGTGGCGATGTGTTTTCCGTTGCCAAAGACGTAGGGATCTATGTTTAGTGTTCGTGAAGTTCACGGCGCGAGAACTGGCCAAGATCGATATCCGTATAGAAATGTTGCTAAACCAGTAGCCCGGCAACGAACCTTCATTTCTCTTCAAGTTTTATGCTCTCCGGGAGGGAAAGCAATGCATCGGGCTGAAGACGGTTTTTCAAGGGCCACTGCATTAGAAGTGGTCTCTCTGGATCATTAGAAGTTCCTGGCTGCAATGACATGAAATGTTGATGGTTTGCTTTCATTTCTGCCATGTTTGTGATTGCTTCTGCAAGGGCACAAACCGCTACATGATAGCCAAAGCGCTTCTACTTGCGTTTTGTAGAAAAACTTAAAAGTGCTTGAGTCATGGAAGGGCTTCTAGCATAAGTACTTTCTGGAAATGCAATTCCAAACAGGCCATGATACTAAATATTACCATGCCAAAACGCAAACAATTCATCACGAAAATTCGAAAACCAGAATTTTCTACAACCATCAAATCAGAAAAAAAAAAAAAAAAAAAAACCCAACTGATTTTATTAGATTGGAGTGGAAAATCGAACTCATTACCTCGGCTGCAAAGCTACTCTTAACCATCTGAGCTACAAGCTCGCAGCACAGTATTCTACTCATAAATTAAGAACAAAAACAAAAAAAACAAAAAAAAAACAAAAAACCAAAAAAAAAAAAACCTTACGAAGCTAACAACCACCGTCACCGCCGCCGCGAGAAGCAAATTCAGAGCACTTTGAGAATGTCCTCAGCTCCACTGGAGGTAAAGGCACCGCCTTCCTCCAAATTCAAGACCTTAACAACGCCATCCTCCGCCAAAAGCGAGTACCTTCTGGACCTGACGCCCAGCCCCACCGGCTTATCGCTCAAATCGAGCTCCGCCCCAATCGCCCTCGTGAAATCACCGTTCCCATCGGACAGCAGCAGCACCTCGTCGCCGATGTTGAGATTCTCCTTCCACGCCTTGAGCACGAAGACGTCGTTGACCGCAATGCAGGCGATGGTCTCGACGCCCTTCGCCTTGAGCTCACCCGACTTCTCCACGAATCCCGGGACGTGCTTCTGGGAGCAGGTCGGGGTGAAGGCGCCGGGGACGGCAAAGAGGACGGCCTTCTTGGATTTGGTGAGCTCGGAGACAGTCACGGTTTGGACGTCGCCGGCGGCGTCGAGGTACGCGAGGGTGGCTTCGGGGAGCTTGTCGCCGACGGCGATGGCGGCGGATATAGGTTTGGCAGCGGTGGTGGAGAAGCGGAGGAGGGGTTTTGGGTGTGGGGAGTGTTTGAGGGGGAGAGGGGTGTAGGAGCTTTTGGAGGAGAGGGATTTGGGTGAGAAGAGAGACGTTTTGGGTGGTGCGGCGGCGGTGGTAGTGGAGAAAGAGAGGGACTTGGGGGCGGTCAGGAGCCTTGAGACTGTGAGGGAGGCTGCCATTTTTGGTGGTTTGGGTTTTAGAGAGTGAGAGAGTGAGTTTGAGATGGGAGAGAGAGACTGGTAAGCTTTGGCATGCAGGGTTTGCTGGGTACGCTGGGTTTGTTGGGTTTAAGGGTTTTTAGCGGAGGGAACAATGAGAGGTTGTTGTGAAGAGGGTCGGATAGATAGAGGATTTATTGGACCCTTCTGTTGTGTGGGCATGTGAGTTTCCATATACCTCCAACTTTGCCACCATAAAAATTATCAACGTATATATGACATGTTCTTGGTTACGTTCACTCGGATATGTCCTTCTCTCCACAAAGAAACTTGATAATTAGAACGGCTAAAGTAAAAATATCGTTGTATTAAAAAAAATTATATAATTTAGTAAAAAAATTTAATAAAAAATTGAACTTTATTCCTCCTCAGTATAATTCATTTCAGTTTAAAGGATATCGTCCTATTACATATTAATAAACATGTCATAAAGTAGTTGCGTTCTATAACTTGTCTTTAGGGTTAGTTTGAATGTGCTCCTAAAATAACTAAAACGCTCTTGACGAGAGTATTTTTGAAACAAATCCTTAGTAAAATGCAATTGAATCTTGAAAAATACTTAAAGTGTTTCCTACAAGAATCACAAGCACTTCAAAAATTATTACACTAAAGCCATAAGTTAGAACTCAAGCGTTTAATCTTGATGTAGTCTAGCGTATGGTGATTAGTAGCGCTAAAATATAAAATAGTAAGTTGATAGGCTTTAAACATATTTCTGTGTTTAACATCACAAAATGGAGGGTCTTAGTGTAATGAAAATATTACTTTCAAAATTTTTTTTTTACCAAAAACGCTTTCAATTATTTTAAAATCATATACAAATGTGTTGTGACATATGTTCTTATCAATATGTGATTGTGTAAATCCTAAGTAGAGATAAAATAGGAATCCTTTGGGATCTAGAAGATCTTTCCTAATATACTTTGTATTACTTGGAGAGCAAGTTTCTCTCCTCCTAATTACTATAAATAAAGGCACAATGACTGGGGAATTAATACACAATTCCTCAAGTCTATTCTCCAATCTCTTCTTCTCTTTGCCGCATATCTCTGTAAAATATAGGCCACAACACGTTATCAGCACGCTCTTCACGCTGTGCTTAGAAGAATTTAAAGAGAATTTATTCGTCTACAATCAGGGGAGTATTACGTTTCAATTATTTTTAATTGATTAAATCTTGATTTTATTGAATTCATATATTGTTATTGATTCAATTTATTTTTCTTCTTATGTTGAACGTGATACAAGCTTGAAGATGAAAGCCGAAATTGAAGAAATAATTTTTCTGCATCAAACCAGTTCATTCATATCATCACGCAATCAGGTTCTTCCAAAACAACGGTTTTTAACTCGATATTTTTGAAGCCCTGATCGCATGAACATTCACCATGATACATGACCCAACTTTACGTTTAACGTATTTTAGATTCTACATAAATTGGGTATGCCTCATAACCAAAATTGCTACAATTATGTGAATTTGATATTTTTCATGAATTGAATCTTACATATGTACATGCATTGAAACTATTATTTGCATATGCATCAAAGTAAATACGTGATTCATTGAAATATATATACAATTGAATTATAAACCTGAAGTTATATCTTTGTATATCCTTGTTGTATATTTGCTTGCATATATATACATATATATATATATATGTGTGTGTGTGTGTGTGTGTGTGTGTGTGTGTGTTTGTCTGCAAATATTATGAACTTAAAATTCATACTTCCGAACCCCAAGTTTCGGAAAAGTGCCATATGAACCTGAAGTTTCTTAATGCGCAACACTCATGTTGAGACCCGAAGTTCTCCATGCTTAAATCCGTTTAAACCAAACCATGTCTTAGAACCTGAATGTTCTAAATTTGTTGTTTATGGAAATTTTATTTCCTAAAACACCAATCACATTCTTGTTTCCTCCATTCAGCGTATTGTCGAACCGTAACAAGTTCGATTTCACTGATTTGGAAGTTTCGAATAGTAAACTACTTTATGTGGATACAAGACGTGAATAAGCATCCGCCATGATCCTTATTCGAAGAATTATGCATGAAGCATATCCAATGGAAGTACCTCCCTGCTGAGGACTCCATGGCTCTTCAAATCCGTTATGGATTGTTTCAAATCATGCAAAGATGAATTTTTGCCTGAAGCAAAACATGATTGAAACTGTTACGTCCATGAATAGGTACAATTCTCGTAGTCCATTTGTGAGACTCATTTTGCTCCACCTAATACATTGGAAGAGCGAAATTTGACATGGACGGCCTATTGGCCGAACCCCATTGTTTTTTTTGGTTTATTTTGTGAATAATTTATTTTGTTCTCGGATTTAAGATTAGTGTTTGGATTTCACCATTATTCTCGAATAAAAGAGTTAATTAACGAAGATTACCACATGTGACTACAATTAACTCATGCTTAGGTATGTTTTATGGGGAAGTTAGCTGTCTGGTTCTATGCTAACTTCATACCTAATCATCTCCCGACAACCTTTCAGGCTTATCCAACCTGATTGTGGGGCATGGCACTGCCCTATATTGTCCAATGGTATTAACTTTACCATAAAGGGAAGCCTTATACTCACTTCGTTCCGGAAGAACGCATTTTTGAGCTTTAAGGATATTCGAGAGTATTATTACCATATTGAAACCAATGTAGAAAAATGGAGTAAAATTCCTTGGCATATTACCATTTTGCACTTCTTACGAATATAGTTAAATGCATATTCTAGAGAAGATGGAACGCTTAACGAATGGATTACATCCATTCAAGTCCACTATGTGGCCGGCCAGAAGCCCCGCCCGCGATTCCTAAGGAATTTTCGCTATGGATGTACGTTTGGGATATCTAGGATGATTCGTGATGCGCCGTTTTTGGGCATCCTCCTTTTACCAGAAGTAAAGAAATCATACCTGGACACGTATTATACCTTAGCACCCTCCATCTTTTTACAAAGGATTCAAATGGGACATTTGTGGATAGATTCAACCACCCTACGGACCATTTAAATATTCTATAGTATTGGTTGATGCTTCTACACGTTTGTCACACGTGTGGGTTTGTTTTCCACAAGTTGCATTCTCTCCACACTGGTAGCTCAGATTAACAAGCTCAGGGCTCACCACCCTGATTATCTGATCAAATTTATTTGATTGGATAAGTTGGAGAATTTACATCGAACAATTTAAATCTCGATGGATATTGCATGTCGGTTGGGTTTTTTGAAAGTTGAACATCCAGTCCCATGTTCATACCCAGAACGACCCAGCAGAAGTATTCATTAAACGCCTTCAAATGCCTTCAAATGATTGCGTGGTCGACTGGTCATACGTACCACAGTTCCCGACCTCTGCTTGGGGCCATGCAATATTGCAAGCAACCATGTTGGTCTGCCTGAGGCCCGTCACGACCCAACCTTATAAAGCGCGTGTCAGTTGGTTACCAAATACGAACCCGACATATCGCATCTGCGCGTCTTTGGTTGTGCGGTCTATGTGCCATTTTGCGCCGCCCTTACGTACACAAAAACAAATGGGTCCTCAGGGAAGGATGGAAATCTATGTCGGTTATGATTCTCCTTCTAATATTCGTTACTACATAACCTTTGACAGGCGATTTCTTTACCGCTCATTCTGCGAATTGTCACTTTTATGAGACAGTCTTCCCGTCGTTAGGGGGAGATAAGCATGTCAACGTTCCTAAAGAACGACGCGAATTATCGTGGACGTCCTCACTATGTCTCATATCGATCCCAATCTAGATCGTCAGAGTTTA